ATATATATATATATATCCACACAAATCAATATGTAGTTTCTTTATGATCCACTTATATATATACATATAAGTACATATATATATGTTTAATGGCTAGTTCGATGACAGTAACGAATTTCTTAAGCATACGATAAATGGAGCTATGGTCACTTTGATGACAGTCATCAAAATGACCAGTAGTGGGCGTTTGTCGTGTGGTATACCGTCGTGTTCGTCCTGCAAGTTTGACCTCGACCTCGCGAACCCTCCAGTATGCCGATAACCTCAGTCCGAATATCTCTCGCGAATATTCCCGAAAGTGGAGTTCTTATGTTTTACAAAAAAAACATGCGGTCAGAAGGGACCGCGGCGGATTTAAGCGCATCAGGAGGTAGAGCCAGGTATGAGCGTCATTTTCCATCCGAACATTGCGACCTTGCGTAACCCGACTAGGCAGCATACACCGTCTTTGCGCCAGTTGTAAATTGCGGAGTTACACCCGCAATTAACAACTTTTTGGGAGCCTTCAACAGCCACCTCCACGTGGTGCTCCCGGGTTATGCCAAGTGCTGTTCAGTTTTGAGGTTATAATTCATAAATTTGAATTATACATCAAAACATTGCAGTGTCATGAAACTGACCCTTAAACATATATATATATATACTTATACTTATAGTCGGTGGTATACTTATATATATATATAAGTATATATATATATACTTGTCACATTCATATTTGAGGACCGAAAATAAACAAGGATTTTTATATTCTATCTACCTAAACAGCTCATGAATTCACTATCAGCATTTTATTAATGAGAGCTTATTGCCTGGACACTTGTGATTAAATTTAACATCTGTTGCTGATTACAAAAAATTGAACGATTCTAGTGGAGTTCAAAGTAGATAAGACATATTGACATTTGTCGCGCCACAATTTGCGACTTTGAAATATTTGAAAAATCGTGAAAAGTTACTGAAAATGAATTAATACTTTCTACTCAAGACTATGATTGCCATAGATAGATTATAATGAGCCAGGATAAATAGTCAAAAATAAAAGAATAAATGGCTTGAATGCGTGATTATTAAAAACAATCTGCCACTTGACAGAATAAATTAGAAGATGTTTAATGAGAAATACTCCGCTATCGTCACTATTAATTTAATGATAAAAAATATGATTTCATAAATTTAAACTCACGTTTAGTAAATAGCTCATATAGTGCTTTATTAAATAATCCTTTTTCGCAATTTCCATTACACGCCTGGTAACGAGCCTACTCCCATTTCTCTACAAACCCAATTAGCGAAACCTCACCTAAGGTGTTGAAGGGGAAAGAAATACTCAATTGCAATGTTCCTGTTAAATAGTAATGAGCGGAAACCTCGATTACAAGGCGGCCACGTCGATCTACGACTTTGAGGCTAACTCTATCAAAGGGAACATAGTACCCTTGTCAAAGTAGGTTGGCTATAAATATACGTAAGAAGAGAAAAAAGTCAACTCTTCCCAATGTCATTGGCGAGTCTCCTGTATAACGGATTTTACCGATTTTTTCAGCTACAAAGGTCACGTCTGTTTGATCGTTAATGTTGCTTCGAAGTGTGGTCTTACGAAGACTAACTACAAAGAGCTGAATGAACTTTATGACAAGTATGGGGAGTCTCATGGTAATTAAATTTCATAGTTATATTTACACTCGGGTCATTAGGGTCATATTATTTCATTATTTGAAGAAAGTCATTCGATGTACCACGAGTACAGTGCTCCAAAGAGTCATGGAATGGTTCAAGCAGTGTTGCCAACTAGGGAGCTCGGCTCGTCACCAGGTCAGGTGGAAAAATCTACATTTTCGACACTAAAGTCACTAGATTTTTTTTTTGTTTTAAATCGTGAAAATCTTCGACTTTTTATGATTAATTTCATTTATTTTGTGATTTCATTACATGAATAGACAGTTTTCAACGATTTATGCATAAATTATCTATAAACTCAAGTAACATCCCATATTTTTGAGTAAATCTAATCATGAAAATAAATATTTAAAGGTAGAAATTATTCATTTCCGTCAACATATCAGGAATATCCCCGTCTTTTTTACTCTCGCCTTCGGTCTCGCCCTGTCCATCCTTATTAACTTTTGGAACATCCTTTTTGTATGCTTTTAATGTTCCAATGTCCTTCAAGACTTCTCTGGGGAGCTGATAGTCATGACGGCACTTGCTGGCTCGTTTCAGGCCATAACGAATGAGGATCGCATTCACAGTGCTGGTTTGCAAACGATTGCGTAATTTGGATTTTATAATATTCATTTGACTGAACACACCTTCAATCTCTGCATTAGACATTGGCAAACTTAATAAGCTTAAAGCAAAGTCGACGAGTTCCTGATAAGGATTTACATTGCATGCATCTTTGTGAGCCGCTACTTCAGTCCAGAAGTCTTCTGATGTCTTAACATTTTTCCATTCTCCATCACCATTGTTCAAGTTGTACCATTGAGATTCAATTTTAGAAATAATCTTGTCATCGAACACAAATTCTTTAATCAAATCGAGAATTGATAACTTGTGAAGTCGGTTTTTCGTAGCTTCACTAGGATGCAGGAGCTTCATCTTCTCTAGTAAGATCAGATTAGATGGGAGTCGATTTTGTAGCTGACTGAGCAGTTTTAGCGTGAAATCACCACATCGTTCTCTAATTACTTTCTTCGTTTGTGGGTCACATTGAAGTTCTCGAAATGATTTTTCAAACGAATATCCTAGGTAAGGATTTGGGTCCAGGTGCTTGCTGATGTCATCTGTCAAGATGTTAATTTTTGCTGATGGAATAAGAACTTTATTAGATATCGTTCGAATCAACTGCTGGAGACTGTCCAGAACCCTCAGCGGATCTGCTAATTCAGCCTCAAAAATTTTATTAGTTTTTTTGAACTTCTTCTACTATCTCGTACACGTCCGTCAAATAGACTCTGTTCGAAGGATCCTTATAATTAGCATAAAGCATCTCAGCAGTATAACATGCATCCTTCCTCCTCACTATTTCAAAATGAGTTTGTAGCTCCAGCCACTGACTGAGGATACGTTCTAGAGCTCTTTCAATTGCCAGCCAACGAGTTTCGCTGAGAGGGAGTGTCTTCAGAGGAGCTTTATTATCATTTATCAACTTGTACAGGTCTGCATAGGCTTTTGGACGTAAAGAGGAGTGGCTAAACCAATTATAGGTTTCTTTAATCATAAATTCTAAATTCCTCGGCAGAGTATCTTTCGTTGCTGCTGACACTGCGAGTTGGAGTGAATGACACATACCTTAATAATACTAAGCCTGGCAAGTTGTGTTTATCTCTGAGTATTCCGTGAACTCCCTTGTTGATACCGACCATCACAGGGGCATTATCTGTCCCGATTCCAACAAGATTTTTCATTTGTAAACCAAACTCCTCAATCACCTTCTCGATCCCTTCAACAATCGCACTTGCAGTGCTCTCATCCAGCTCAAGAAGTTGTAAGAATGTCGAAACTATCTTCTTTTTCTCGTGACTGTAATATCTGTGGAATGGAAAGTAAATTTATTAACAGTCCGTTTTAACTGAAAAACGAATACAACAAATATAATGATATTAACCGAGAGAAAAGAGTTTGAAAATCATCGGTTACGAACCTAATTGCAATTCCTAACTGCTTGATCACCCGCTTGAGCACAGAGACATCTGTTGATTCATCCAGGATGAGACTGTATTTACCGTCACCAATATCAGCACGCAAAGCACGTTGGAAGTGGGGAGATAAAACATTTTTGATCACCTCAGTGCATTTGGTTCGATGTAACTGTATTGTTTCTTTCGAATCCAGAATTTTCGACGAGCACAAGTCAGTTAAATGATCGACAACATTCATGTTACTGTGCTTGGCAACATACAGTGCTAATGATCCCTCAATTTCTTTTTTCTTCTCCACATCCTTAGATTTATCAATTATCTTGATTTTTCCTTGACGATTCGCGTCGAATGAATCTTTTGCTCTACAGTGTGCAGCAGTTTTTTCATGTTTTCTCAAGTCAGCCAGCCTTGAATTGAGATGACTCGCGCACCAAACACATAAACTCTTTGTTTTATCATTGGCAACAGGTTTAACCCATGGAAGCTCTTTGACCCACTCTGATCTGAATTTTTGGACATATTGCGGCTTCATTGTAAACGTAATTTTCTAAATTTTTATTCAATCATTATTAAAAATTGAAACCCGAATTTATGGTGGGATATGATGAACGAACAGAGATGAGTTGACTGGGAGTCACAAAGAGATACGAGCAACGACACGTTTCACTGTTGCCATCACAGGGATGAATTGCATCGTAAAGACTTCAAGCTGACTTTCCAAGTGGCGACTGTCGAAATTCTAAAGCGTCATTTTTATTGGCTATTGCGTACGATCTCATGAAATGCAGCCAATGATCTTGTGATTAAACTTTCTCCTCTGAACGCGCCTGCAGTACGTTTCTCCTTACTCAGTCATCCATCTTAGTTATTATCGTTTACTCAGGCATTTATTTCAGTTTGAAACCTACCCAAGTCCAAGCTGTAATTACATTTCAAAATTTCTAAGGAAAACCACTGAATCAATATACGCATTAATTACGCAATTATGTCGTACTTGATATATTTTAAACCTGTATTAACTGAAGATGGACACATTCAAACATTCCGAGGATCGGATTATTTTATGTTCGTCGACACTCGAAGTATGTCGTTTTATTCTGTCCGACTTTTATAATTTTTCTCATCATTGAGTCATAGAATAGATATTTTCATTTGTATTTTTATTTTTTCAATACTGTCATTATTACAGTCTCTGATGAAGAACTCGTTCCTGCAAAGGAAGATGACAGGCCGGGCCCCTGATTAATCCTATAGACATACATGAGTGAGGAGTAACACAAAAAATGTAAAATATTGACAAAAAAATAGAACAGAATCCAGAAATTTCAGTGTTTTTATTTTGATTCATCTTGGTGACCGTAGTCACCGGCTGAAGTTTGAAATTCACTAGATTCGTCACTGGTAGACAACCGGAGAATTATCGTCACTAGACCCCACTCCCAAAACACCAGATCTGGTGACAAAATCACCAAATTGGCAACACTGGGTTCAAGTCCATGTAACCATGCCATTAAGGTACTTCCACAGTAAATTTTTTGGGCAGAGGGTGGGGGTAAACATCAAACGCTCCGACACTTCGCTGCAACGTGCGAAAGAAAAAAAATGAAATAGAGATTGGTCAATAGATATATCAAAATTGTGCCAATTGAGTTCTTTATTTATTCTTTATTCCTAATAGATTGACTGAAAAAGATTATTCATTTTAAAATTATTTATATAGATTTACAAATAAATTCAATTTTTCACGATACGTTGACCAACAGCGCATTTTCGTCTGACGGAATTGGTATCATTGTCGTCCGGTATACCTCATACCATATTATAGAATTTACTATAGTATGTGCCTTGGCGCGAATTTGAGGGAACGTCAGGTTATGTTCCACAGAATTTTGTTGATGTGTTATGAATAAGTGCTGGCACAGTTAATTTTTATTTAAAACAAATTTCATCGACTCTGAAAACAGAAATAAGTGAGATGATATGGAAGGTTCTCCAGGCTCCTCAAGAATGAAATACAAAGGAAAATTCATTAAAAAAAAACATTAAAACACAAAATTGTTGTTCAAGAGTTGGGCAAGGCTATCAAGGGGAGGAGAGTGAGTAAATCTGAGATTGAGACCGAGAATGATGTATCAGTGAATATTGACAATCGCATTGTAAACTTGAGAATGCTGGTTGATAAACTACAATGCTCTGTGTGCTCGGAACCTTTATCATTGAAAGAAATTGTCAAAGAAACCAAACGTGGTTTGGGGTCCTATTTGCATATGGGGTATTCCATGTGAACTCACCCAGGTCAAAACCCTCACCATCGCCAATAATATTGCCGATTTTTCCTGTGATTGTTTATGGAAAAATATGACTTCTCAATTTTTTTCAGATTTTTTGAGGCATCCTGTGGACAGCCATGTTTTTTTGCAAGTTTTATCTTCAAATGCCTGTAACTTCCGTAAAGCTCAACCGATTTGAATTTTTTTTTCACAAAATGTGCGTCTTCAAACACACTTTCCATATAAAAATATGCCAATTTTTTCAATTCGTTCTTCCATCGATTTCCTCAGAAAAATCTCAAAAAACTTTAAAAAACGAGTCGTTTTTAAAGTTCGACCCTTTTTATATTTTTCAAAAAATTTCAGTGAATATATTAGACCAAAATAAAATTTTTCACCAAGGGCCAAAGTGGGCTTCCCATTTCGTCGCCGTCATTTCCAATTTGAATATATGAATCCGGGATGAGAAATTTCAAAAATTTCAAAATTCTTTTAGCATTTGAGCGCAGAAGCATTATTTGAATTTACCGCCTGAAGAATCACTGTATTATATTCGAATCTGGAACAATTTGATGATTTTTTGAAAATTCGTTAACAATAAATCTTTCCGAGTGGTGTGTTCTAATAGAGATCCCACTTTGGCCTCTGGTGAAAAATGTTATTTTGGTCCAATATATTCACTGAAATTTTTTGAAAAATATAAAGAGTCCAACTTTGAAAACGACTCGTTTTTTGAAGTTTTTTAAAGTTTTGTCTGAGGAAATCGATGGAAGAACGAATTGAAAAAAATAGTCATATTTTTATATGGAAAGTGTATTCGAAGACGCACATTTTGTAAAGAAAAAAACTCAAATCGGTTGATTTTTACGCAAGTTACAGGCATTTGAAAATAAAACTTGCAAAAAAAACATGGCTGCCCATAGGATGCCTCAAAAAATCTGAAAAAATTTGAGAAGTCATATTTTTCCATATACAACCACAGGAAAAATCGGCAATATGATTGGCGATGGTGAGGGTTTTGACCTGGGTGAGTTCACATGGAATACCCCATATACAGTGCGGATACTACCTTGCTGAGAAGCGTATTCCAACGACCAAATGCGTGAAAGAGCCAGGGGATAAAAATAAGGAGTTTTTTAAGATCAATTACAAAATGGCTTTTGGTAAATATCAATTTTTCTCTGTGATTATGTGTATTCAAATATTGATAAATTAATATTTAACTAACAATTAAAATTACTTCCACAGCTTGTCTCCACGCAGGAATTGGGAACCAGGGACTAAATAAACTATTGGCAAGTGCGGGTTTACCTACAATGAATTATGGAACATATAAAGACTATGAGAGAAGAGCTGGATCTGTTGTAGAAATAATTGCTAAGGAAAGCTGCGACAAAGCTGCAAAAATTGAACGACAATTGACGATCGAGAATGCCGAAGAGATTGAGAAGATTGTGTAAGCTCATGGGACACAATCTTTATCACTTCAATTATTTTACATTCTTTTTTACTTGTCTTTCGTAAAAATTTATTTTTTTCATTTAATTAAATTATTTTCGATTATTTTGTTGCCTCTGGTTTCCCAGTAGAATATATTATGCTCTATTGAGCGAATCAATTCATTATGCAATGAAGAAATTTCATTTTTATTTGTTATTCTCTTTGACAATTTTTTCCCCTGGCTTTTCCGGGACAATCAGAATGCTTTATTGAGCTAATCGATTATCTATTTCATTGAGATTCTTCATTTGAAATTAGTGAGACTTTTTTTCTCCTATTTACTCATCAACATTCAACAATCACTCCAATTCCCCAATAAAACCAAATCTATAGTATTTACCTACGAGAATAAACGTATATATTCGCTAATGTGGGAGCAATTATACTCATTGTTAAATAAAAAATGAATAATAAATGAAAAATCTCTAAAAAAAAGGTGTTTTTTATTATTGCTTTAAAAATTAACACGTTGGTGGTAGATGTGAGCATGTGTGGATTTTTATAGGCCTATTGAATATCGTGAAAACTTCATAATTCCTGATGGAGCATCTTCATCGAGTTCAGAGGGTTCAAAGTTCGACGAGGAGACTGATACGAATCAACAGGACATAAGTAAACTTCGCTAGATGGTCTTTATGTTGAAAGATTCATTCATTCTTCGTAATTTAGGACTAGTGGAAGATACAGGTAAATCACAAGCGCCTGAAAACGTTCCACTGTCAGTATCACCCCCTGAAGTTGGTGAACAATCTTCAAAGCAACCTGTGAAACCGTCTGCCAGGTGGAAAGGGTCTCCAACAATTGTTAGTGCAATGTCGTTCCTCGTGAGACTGATGCTCTCATTCGATTGTGGTTGGTCTAAGTGAGGGAATGGAAAGAATTACGACAGTCTCAACGGTTATGCTGCCCTAAGTGGTACACAGAGTGGTCTGATCGTCGACTATGCAACAACAAACAGAGGCTGCAAGATGTATGCATTTGGTAACTCAAAAGACGAACATGATTGCCGTCTGCATTTCTCAGGAAGTACGAAAGCTATCGAAGCACATTTGGCTGTAAAATTGGCGACTGAGAGTGAAATCCTGAAGGGAAATAATGTACAGTTGGGGATTTTTTGTGGAAATGAAGATTCTGCAGCAATAGCTTCAGTTAGAAAAGCCTTAACACCCTCTCCAGTAGTGAGAGTGTCGGACAAGAACCACCTCTCCAAGGGCGCCAAAAAACAATTTTATTCGATTCCAAAATCTAGTGATCCTGATCAAGAGATTAATAAAAATTCCATCGAGTATTTACAGCGGTATCTTTCGTTTGCGATGGCTCAGAATCAGAGAGACGTGGAAGGTCTGGCAAAGGCACTGCGCTCGATTCCATATCATTCTTTCAACGACCACAAACATTGTGGTGATTGGTGTGGATATAAAAAAAATCCAGAAGAGTATACTCATCGAATGATTGGCGAGGGGTGACAAAATCCAATTTTGTTCGAGGCAATACACGAAATATTTGAAGGATTTGCGAAGAATGCTGAGAAATTTACCCAGGCAGCCTCTAATTAATGTAACGAGAGCCTGAATGCTGCAATAGCTAGGAAAGCACCGAAAAGCTATTGTGTTATAGTTAGAGTGAATCGATGGACTATAGAGTAGCAGCTGCTGTTGCTGAGAAAAATGAGGGAGAAAGTTACGTGATCCAAGTTTTTGAGCGACTAGACCTGACAATTGATGACCAGCTACGTCAGCATGTTGAGCGGTGTGAAAGAAAAGCATCCGAAAATGCTGAGAAGGCCAGCTCAACCAAGGCAACAGGTCATTGAATCGAATTGAGGAAGAAGCGAGATGCATTACGCAATCGAAATGAACGATCGGAAGGAGTGATGTATCAATCCAACATGGGATTGATTACTATCAGAGCCATCAATGAGCCATCGAGGACCGACGACCACGTAGTTGTATACTTGGTGAATGACGAATACCAAGTTGTTTTCTATGATTTGGAAACATCAGGGCTGAGTGGAACATGCGATATACTGCAGATTGCAGCAGGAACCTCGTCAACGTCATTCAGCACCTACATTAAGCCTTCCAACCCCATAGATCTGAAGGCATCCGAAGTCCACAACTTAACAAATGTCTCCTCTATTTGCATGGAGTTCGCTTGGAAACGATGAGTTTGCGTGGTGCTTTGAGATCATTCATTTCTTATCTTGAGAAATTCAATAAGAAATGTGTTCTAGTTGCACACAATCTCGATTTTGATGGACCACGTCTTCTGCGAGACATTGAGAACTGCTCTTTTTTCACTGATTTCCAGGCAGCTGTTGGTGGCTTTGCCTGTTCTCTGCAGGGTTATAAAATAAAAATCAATGTTAAGAGACCAAAGAAGGGTGAAATGAAACTGTCGACTCTAGCTAGTGCATATGTTAAACATGTGGATGAAAAAAATACGCACAATGCCTGTTACGATGTGTATCTGTTGAAGAATTTTGTTTGTAACGTATTTACTCTAGACGAAATTTTATCTGAGCTTATTACAGTACCTGAAGCTCTAAGTACAACGCCAATAAAAAAGTGAAAGACACAGCAAATTCCCTCTCAGTACTATCCACACTGATAGCAAATACTCTGAAACAAAAGATGGCTAAAGCTGGTGTTGGTTTGGAAGATTTGCATAATGCATTCGAGAAAGATGGCACGAGTGGAGTCGTCAAATTACTGAGTAATCGAATTGATTATAAACCTCGATCAATAAAACTCGAAGAAATGTATCAAAATATTGCAGATTACATTGCGAAGTCACACAAATAATCACGGAAATTGTTTTTTGTTCTTATTTGTTTTTTATACAAATTTGAAGATTTATGGATTGTTTCTCTAAATATTATGGATTGTTCAACGTTTTCTGAGGATTTAAATAAAAAATAAGACTGGAAAAATAACATTGAATCAATGTTATTCAACATAAGTGACCTCGAAGAGTTTCAATAGTTTGAATTGCCCGCTCACACGAGTTCCCCTTCCTCTCTCGCCCTTCAAACGCCCTAACCTTCTCGCAACGTTGTCACATTCGACCACCATTTCACGATAACCTCTCCACTTTTACATACTCTTTTCATTCAGTATTATTATAAATCCATGTGGTAAAAAAGAATAAAAAATGCACGGATCGGTTCCTGAAATATGTACGGTAATATTCATTCATTTGTTTATTGCTGATTAAGAGGTACAACCTTGTTACAGCGAGGAATATAATAATGTATAATAGAGACGATTTCGGGGAGATGGCAGAAGACATAAAGTGCACGAGATGAAAATAAAGTGACAATAGTGTAAATAGGGATAATACAGTATAATTAGGTATAACTAGGTATAATTAGGTGTAATTAGGTGGGGGAAGGTCCGGTACATGAAAATCCAGATGAGCAGAGAAATAAAAATTGATCAGAGATTAATAAGTCAGAGATAAATAAATAAAGCAAAGCATTGCAAAAAACAGAGCATTGGACCGGTATGGTTGCAGGTGGTAGAACATACGTTTGTTGAGTTAGGAGGCTTAAGGGAGCCTAGCGCTAAAAAACTAGAAATTACGAACTAATCTAGCTCGAGAGTTGACGTTAGGTAGCGGTTGTCCAGTGGATTGAAATAGTTTGTTATGAGATTGACCCTATTCGTGAGAGCGGAAGAGCTTGATAGAACATCGCATTTAATATAAAAAAAAAAGTTTCTTGGTGGCAAGAGGGACATCCGAGTCAAGAAAGCGGGTGAAGGTGAGGAGAATTTCATCAAGTTGTTGGCTCAGGGGGAGGAAGTGCCTCCTAGGAAGGACATATGGTACGACAGATAGAAGGGACATACCAACAGGAAGTGAGTCAGAGTTTCGGCTGAGTTGCTGGAGCACAACTGGCAGGGTTTAGAGGGATCAATCCTAAACAATGCTTTTTTGATGGCGAAGGAGATCATCAGAGGATTTGCAAGCCTCACTTGAGCCTTAATACGGGTCATGGTTATGGGCACTCTCTGTTTCAAGTAGCTCCTGTGATAGTTCTCGAGATTGGGAGCAGACAGAAGGAGGAGACGCCGCTCGAGCGCGGTCTACCTCAAGCAGATGTGCTCTCAGTTCGGAGAGAACTCTGGGGCCTTCCCGGGACCAGTAGGAGGCCGAGGGTAAGGTGACGTCAAAACTGACGCTGAAGGGCTCAAGCCGATCCCGAAGCTAGAGGATAGGGTTGTAACGGAGGGTCCTGGAGAGTGCATCAGAGGATGACATACTCAGCAGTGATGAAGCCAGCTTCATAAACCTGCGGAGGCAGACCTTGGGAAGCCTGCCCTCTTTTTGTTCAAGGATCCTAGTAAACCAGCCAAGAGAGAGCTTGATGACATGGTAGAGGAGCTTCACAGTACCGACCTCGTGGCGAAAGAGGTGCTTGGGGGTACAGGTAAGAAGGAGAAGGAGTCCCTTGTAGAAGCCAAGCTGGATGGTCTCTATTTTGTCGGTGTACTGCAGGACCCATGTCGGAGCAGCGTAGAGAAGAGTCGAGGCGATCATGGAATCAAAGAGCTTGGTTGTTGCTTCCCACGAGTCCGAGGAGGCTCTCGCTAGGGTAAACATAACGGATCCAACGGCAATCCTGACTTTATCAACGGCAGCCTGCGAAGCACGGCTACCAAGTGCGGAGGAGGAAAATACCACACCCAGGTAAGTATAAGTGGAGACGACCTCAATGTCTTCCCCATAAATTCTCAGGGGAAAGTTTGATAGAAGAGAGGCAGGACCTCCTGATCTGAAGATAATCAGTTTAGTCTTGGAGACGTTCACTGTCAGGTGGTTGGATTGGAAGTAGGACTCCAGATCTTTCACAAGATGAAACATGTGAATCTGCTGCGGCGAAAACAAGACCAAATCATCCGCAAAGAAAAGTGCTGGAACATCCCTCGTTGCATCGATGCTAGGACCGCGATGCCCCCTGTCTCTCAGGAAGGATTCAATATCAAAGAGAAACAACAAGAAGAGAGTAGGACTCAGGCTTTCCCCCTGCAGCACTCCTTCCGTGATGTCAATGCTCCCCGAGAGGCGACTGGCAGATCGAACTCTCAGAAATGCTCGTAGAGGTTACGTAGAATGTTGATCAATTTGGTGCTGACACCCAGGTGGAAAATCTTCTGCCAGAGCAGAGTGTGGTTGACCGAGTCAAAAGCTCACTTCAAGTCCACAAAGAGCCCAAAAACTCTTCGGCTTCCCAGTCGTAGTTGTAATTGTGCTGTCGCCTGTGCCACAACGATGTTGTCGAGGGTGGAGCGACCTCTTCTGAATCCAGCCTGGCATTCCGGGTAGATGCCTTCTAGGCCGGTTAAATAAGGACTTTTTTTCGGCCGAAATCAAGGATGATAGAAGAAGGATTAAACCATGAGATATCATGCAGAAGCATGATATGA